TATTTCGCCTAGATAACTTGACATTTGTACCATAACCAAGATACAGTGTTAAAAAAGTCATTATTTTTGAATAATGAAAGGATTGTTCATCATATAATAAGCAGATGGTTGTGCTTGTATCTGAAGGGATGGCCGCAGTTTATGTGGGACAGTCATACTTCTCCTCTTTGTATCTAGAAGAAAATAAACGAAACCAGAATAAAGTGCCTAGTAGTTAGAGCATGAGTAAAAAGGAATATAAACCAGGCAACATTTTTTAGAGAATTTGCCACGTGCTTTCAATAATACATTTGATACCCTGGTTGTGATGGACTTGCTCGAGTTGATTATACCTTCACTGGATGCTGGGCAGAGCGTACTTTTAATTAACCAGTTGAAGGGAAACTTTAGGTAACCTTCACACACACTTGTTGTATTACTTGGATTCTAGGAAACTGGACATATTATCAATTCTGGATTTTTAAGCTGTTTTAAAAAAAGTCTGTTGAAGACGGAGACAAGAATTTTAAGATGAATCACGACAGTGGGTTATTTTCAGACGTTTAGAATTGGAGATGTATTGTTACTGGCGCAGACAAGAGTTGAATACTGACGTCACCGCGTCTTGCTCTATTGGAAGTCCCTCCTACCCTATCCCTCTCCCCTACCACATCCCCGAGCATACACATCTCTCCCAACATCCACCAATCTGAGAAATGATAATTACCAAGTAATAATAACCCCAGTTCTGGTGGAACAAATCTTTGAAGCTCTCATAAGTGATCAACCTTTAATGGAGTACTTGACGATATCTTTATTGCTCTAATGAAGTCTCCCAGCTCAGGGTTGAAAGATTTCAATACTTTTAATACCATCCCGTGTGCTGAATATTCAGTTTTTTCTTAAAAAAAAAAAAAATCTCCCTGTGAGGGGAATCTGTAGTATGTTAAGTATTTGTGTTAGGTACAGCTAACTAGTGATGTGAGGATCTTCCTGCCACATGTGGATACCGTGTACCCTGATGTGTACTCTGTGTACTAAACTCTAGTCTATTATATTAACACTCATTTATTACATGTATAATTTGAAATATACACTATCACCACAACAACCACTATCAACATTCACCATCACCAGCATCCACCTTTACTTTTGACGTATTCCTCTTATGGTTCATTGAGCTGTGTTGCCTGATAGGCCTCTGATGGTTCACCTTGATGTCTGTTGTCTGTTTGTTTCCTATCCTTGCAATCTTGTACTGTTTTGCTGGAAATATAATCCAGTCACTAATTTTTCTGTCATTGCTGGTTTTGCACTGTGCGAACCTTTCTGAGTGAGTGAAGCAGCGAGTGAGGGAGCGATGGAGTGAATGTGAAAATTAGCATTGGTAATGGGATTTATTTCTGGTGTGTGACATAGGGTGGATCATCTTGTGCGTGAAGGGGGAGAAACATTGTGTGTAGTGAGTGTGTGGGGGTGGAGGAGCACTCTGTGAAGTTTGGTGTGTGGTGGTGTCACCAGTGTGTGCTGGAGGTGTTACAGAGGGAGGGAGGGAGGGAGGAGGCTGGTGCGGGTGGCTGGGGCGGCGCCACCCACTTAGGGATGCTGCTCATCATCTCGTTGAGATTGATCGTTTTATGACCACCACAGTCTCCGTGTGCCCGCCTACACTTTTCCCCTCCCTCCGGCTATATCGTACATTCCCTCCTCTGGCAATGTCATCCCCCCTCCCCATTTTCCCCGGCTGTATCCCCCCAACGTTGGGTCACCTTTACGGGGTGGTGAGATTTGCTGAACCTGCTTAAATCCCAGCCCCCTTTCCCCTCCTTTATTTCACTTACGTAGTAGGGATTTTCCTCCATTTCTTAAATATTGTTCTGGTGGATTAGGAAAGGTGTCACTGTTACTCTCATAGTTCTTCTAGTAGTTGCAGTGCTGAGGTGGTTTGCACCACCCAAAGTAGATGAGACCATGAGAGGAACCTTCTGGTGAACCACTTGGTCATTTGGTGTTACATTGTGTGGTATATTTGGTAGTTGTCTGGCTGTGGAAGTATAAATGGAGGTTACCTGCAGATCCATGAGTGATGGCTAAAGATGTGCAACCTTAGGTGGTGTTCCTGGCAGTTCGTCCTCACCCATTACTAGCCGGATGCTGCCAGCCAGTCTAAATAGGCGGTTTTACTAAGCCTTGCTCTGTTACTTCTGGAGAGGCATCCTGGAATTGTACCCTGGATAGGAAAAGGAGTGGTTCTTGAGAGAAAGTTGCTACTGCTTATTGTTGGCGTGGAGTATGGGGACTAGTGGTGAGGCATCAGCTTCTTTATTAGTGAGCTGGTAGTCCCATGTTGCTTTCTTTTGCTCACTTCTGCTCTGCTCTCTCATTCTCTTCCATAACACACAGCATTTATGTCTGCTAAGGCACCAACAACCTCTCCTGGTTCCTCTGAAAATGACTTCGGCGACCCCTGCACGGATACGACTCGTGGCAGCGACCCAGAGATAGATACAGCCAGGTTGACCCAGAGTCAGATTCAGCGAGGCTGACCCAGAGCCAGATCCAGCCAGGCTGACCCAGAGCCAGATTCAGCCAAGCAGACCCAGAGCCTGATTATGTCGGCATTTGGGAAGGCAACGTTGTGGATAACCCAGTGTTGGGCTCTTATTTTTTTTCCTGTAGTGTTTATACAAATGCTAATGTTATTTCTACATTGAGTAGCGTTGGGTAGGTTGTTTCCTCCCGGCATGACGACAAATTCTCTTTGCTAAATCCTGTCCATCGCCTAAGGATATGGATTTATATGGGTGCATTCCAGTCATCTCCTCTTGAGAGCTATACAAAATTTGGTGATCTTATCCTGGATTTCTGCCGTGAGGAGCTAGGCCTGTGCTGCTAGGTGCACACCTAGCGCAGGCTTCATGGAGGAGAGGGGGAGTGCCCTTTGCTCATGTGAGGCTTCCTGTGTCAATGTTTGGATGCCTATTGCTCTCCTGGATGTGTCTATGGTCAGAGAGGTTGGCTTCTCTCCCAGTCTTCCTTGGACAGTACCTAACATATTCTTTTGTGCATAGTGGATGAAGACCTCTAAGTGAAGAGTCCCTGTGATCTTGTTTTCGCTTTAAGAATAAATGTCATTACCGACGGGTCAAAGAGCGAGGGTGGTGTTTAACTTTGCAGTAACTGCCGGTGAGGAGTCTTATTGTACATACAGGTAGTTATAAAATGAGTTCTGTGTTAACTGCTTAATTGGAACTTGGTTCGCTGTCTTCTCAGATTCCAAGTGAACTTTTGCGCCCTGGCCCAGTATGCTTCTCTCCACTCTGTAGTCCAAAAGATCCAGAAGTTCTATAAATAATTCCTGATGTTAGTTTACGGTATAGGTAAATTGCAGCCTTAAACTACGTAGAATCGATATGCCTTAAAATTTATCAATTCATTTAATATATAGAATATTTAAATCTGGTGATTTGTTAAATAACTACTTATGGACACGCGCTTGAGTTTTATCCTCGGAAAGTAATGTCTTATATAAAATCCATACATTTTTTCTGTGGTATGTGTATCTTAAGTTTGTATGAGTTATGGTGCCCGTTAGTTATTGTGGCGGTTAGGATGTTATAATGGTGTAGTGGGGAGCTTTCCTGAGCCTCTCCCACGCTCCCCAGCTCTTACCTCCCTCCCTGCTGCCAGTAATGAGGATGTAGCACAATCACAGCAAGTGGACCCACATGCACCACTTGCCACTTCCCAAATGTTTTACATACACCATTTTTTTTGTTTTACAACGAAATTAAGAGAAATTACACGCTAGAGTAACAGTGCCAGGTACATTATGATCATTGTGTTTATGGAAGTATTACAAATGTACTCAAACGTGTATAATGGTGGTGGATGTGGTAGCTCGAGTGTTAAATGAGGAAGTGAGTGATAAATCCTAGTGAGTGGGTGGTGCAGGTGCATGGTGGTGGTGGCAGCTGGTGGGGAGGTGCGTAATATTGAGCTTGAGTGAACAGACATGTCCTGTGCGAACTGCTGATAGCTTGATACTGTCAGTCATTGAAGGATAATCAGGAAGAAAGAATGACGGAGTGATTGAAAGTCCCTCCTTCACTTATCATTATGATTTATATTATAAAACTTTTAGTGTGGTTAGTATAATGAAATGTGTAGTTTTCACATTCAGAACGAATCCATAACTGGAATAAAGAATAAGTAATTTTATGTATTTAATAAAATTCAAATTCATTATATTAAACATTTTATGACGTTTAACCAATTTCAGTTTGATAATATAGAACACAGCTTTGTGTGCTACTATATATTAGGAATATAATGAATAAGGCGTCTATTTATGGAAGTTTTTCAAACTGATTCGGAAGGATTCAAACCTCATCCGTACAGGGGTTTGGAACCATTCATCTTGCGCTAACAGACTTACTTTTTTTAATTTAATTATTGTCGGTTAATTATATGTAGTACATATAAGTTAGCATACTTTAACGTAATTAGATCTGACCTAACGTATGTGACACGAATATTTCACAGGTGGTGCCATTCGAAGCATACAAAACCAGGTGAAAGGTAATTAGGGAGAAACTGAACGCGTTAATTGTAGCACAGGTTGATACTGTATCCTAGATCTGTTAATGCAACCTAACCTAATCTGCATCTATATTAGGAGTTAAATTCTGAGTGTGTCCCGTAGCTCGATCACTAGCGCACTCAGCTCACACACTGAGGTCCGGGGTTCGAATCTCCTCCGATACGGCTGGAAAACATTTATGGACGTGTTTCCATAAGACACCTGCTGCCCCTGTCCCTGTTCACCCATCGGTTTAAAATGGGTACCTGGGTGTTAGATGGCTGGTGTGAGTCGCATCCTGGGCCAAAACTGACATAATTTGCCCGTAATGCTCAGCATAACAAGCGGATTTATATATTATATATATATATATATATTATATATATATATATTTTATATATATATATATATATATATAATATATATAAGTTAATGACAAGTTTTTATATGACGTTTTCTTCTCTGTAGTGATGCGAAAAATGGTTGCGTTGAAAAAAAATGTCTTGACGCGTGTAGTTTGAGCTAGCACACAACTACAGACTGATTGTGAGTGGCTCCTCAAGGGAAAGTTTATTGATGCTGGTGAGGGGCTCCTGATCCAAGGAATCGGACTTGTTCTTCCCTTGGATCAACCCCAATTGCCTTCCATTCTACAGGTGCACTCAGCTCACAGACTGAGGTCCGGAGTTCGAATCTCCTCCGGTACGGCTGAAAAAACATTAGGGACGTGTTTCCATAAGACACCTGCCGTCCATGTTCAACCATCAATGAGTACCTGGGTGTTAGTCGACTGGTGTGGGTCGCATCCTGGGACCTAATTTGCCCGAAATGCTCAGCATAATAAACGGCTTTCTGTATAGTAGTATGTCATTGATGTCAGCTAGGCCTGTATACCATGTACATGTACTTTTAGTAAATAAAGATATTATTATTATTATTATTATTATTATTAATGCAGTTTGGGAAAAAATGCACAACAGCAAGCACTCAAGGAAAAAAATTAGGGTTTCTTTTATACGAGTTCAGCATGAGCTGGATTATACAAGACTTCATCTTGTGAATTAGTCATTACCGACTTCATTTATAAAATAATCTCTGAATGGATATGACATTAGTGGTTTTCTTCCTCCAAGGTTAACTTTGTGATAACTTGAGAACATTTCTTCTGATCGGCTAAAAACTTAGTGCTGGCATATCACGTGAAGAGGAATACATACTGAGATTGTTATTGGGCTATGTAGGTGCCAATTTGCCAATTGTATTGAGCAAATTGTGACATTGGTCTGTGTGTGATAAATTGAGCATGCTTCTAATTGGTTTCTGATTTTCAGCACAGGTGTATCTTAATAAAAGTTCACATTATTATTGAACTACGAAGGTGCCAATTTAGCAGTTTTATTTAAATCAACTTTTAAGATGTATATTGTTGATATTGATAGGCCTTCTGTAACTAATTTGTTCTTAAATATAAAATAGAATTTATTTCATAATGAAGTTTACCTTTTCAAGGCATGTTAAGCTTGACAAACTTACTGCCATAACAGATCTCTTTTACTTTAAATTTTTTTTTCTTATAGGATTGTAGAGCATTAAAAACTAGATATTTACAACAAAAAAATGAAGAATAAGGAAAACTTATCTTTTTATGGCATGTTGAAGTTTGATATTTAGTTTAGTAGGGAATAAAAAGGTACAGTACCATAACTGGTTATGTGTGTGTAGTTTAGTAGATTCTAGGGTATGTTAAACTAAGGTCCAGAACCTTTTGAATGGATTGTTCTCCAGCTCTTGGACCTCTTGTGAAGGTTGAGCGATAGTTCCTTGGTGTCTTGAGAAAGTTGAGTTGCAGCTCTTCTTCCTCAAGAAGGTTTTACGGTATAGCTTCTATGCAGTGGTGGGCACAGCTAACCGAAAAGTTAGCTTTGCTAACTGCTAATCTGCTAACTAAAAGCTCTGCTATTGCTAAATCGCTGATTCGCTGAAAAATATTAGCAGAAGCTATCGCTAAATGCTAACTGCAAACTTTTTCACATGAATTCAGATTCGGTTTAGTTTTTTGGTCTTTTACTTTTAAGACTTTTAGAACAGACCTGGAGAGCTTCCTGATAAGGTATAGAATGTCAAGGTCATATGATGATCAAGTTCCGCTAGTGCGGAAATATCGATTGTTTAATTTTGTGATGTAACGCGAGTGACTGACAAGGACACACTTGTCGCTGTACTGAAGCACCATAGCAAACAATACTCATCTTTAATATTAGAGTATAAGTACCACTGTTGTAAAGTAACGAAGTTAAAACTACTTGAGTTCTGTACTTAAGTAACTTTTCGGTATTTACTTTTTAAAAAATACTGAAATTGTTCACTACTTTTACTTTTATGTACTTAATTACTGAAATCTGTTATTACTTTACTTCACTGCAATCTGATAACAATACTTTACTCGTTACATCATCAGTAATTTTTGAAAAGTAAACACTGAGAAAAGTTACTCAAGTACAGTACTCAGGGAATTTTACTTGGTTACTTTACAACACTGGGAAAGGTACTGTACTTCTAAACTGTCATAACTTACATTACCCACAAAAATTAAGAAAATATAAAAAAAAGCTATAGTAGTAGTTTAATAAGCTGCCTCCAGGCAGGTAACTCATAAATACCTTATACGATACTCCTCCACCTATTTATGGCTGACCAAAATCCTCCTGCCCAGGGTGCGGCTGGACATCGACGTCTTGCTGGGGTTCAGCGTCTTGATCAGGCTGACAAAGGTAGTAATATGTTGCAGACGAATAGGTTCACATTCTTTGTGCCCACCACAGACTGACGGACGCTAGTGCCAGCAGCAACAAACGCTTTGCCAATGGTGGTCTGGCGTGCTCTCTTTGCAGGTGGCTGTGATAATTGGCTACTGCTCCTACTAGTGGTGCTGCCACAAGAAGATTGCCTGTGTTTTCCATGGGAAGATCCGGCCTTGATTCTCTCCTCAAACTTGATGGCATGTGCTGGGTGTTTCCTCTTAACATGCAACTTCAAGTTGTAGAAGCTCACCACCTGTCCCTTGATGATGGTCTCTTTGGGCTGGCGCATGACGCACAGGAAATACAAAATATTGGAGTTTTTCGTATCCCTTGACTTGAGGACAAAATAGCCATCCAGGTGGGGCCACAGGTTCTGCGACTCCTGGCCCTCAGCCTGAGCGGCCTCTGCTTCAACCACAGTCGCTGCAGACATGCACCCCAGTGATCGCTGACACTTAGACTTTAACAATGCTACTCAAATGCTGCTGCTGTTGCATTGACAAGTCATGTTTACACATAGTCAGCCAATAGCATGCCTGACTGACTGTTGGAGAAATGCACACAACAGATAGGAACAAACACGTACACCGTTGGAAAGGCATTGCTTTCCGACTACCGACAACGTATGAATTTTTTATGAATTTTTCGTTAGCGGAACTTTATTTAGTGGAAGCTAATTGGTCCGCTAACGGTTTACGAAGTTAGCGGAAACTCTAATCCGCTAAACAAAAAGTTAGTTCCGCTATTAGCGGTTAGCAGATTAGCAGAACTGTGCCCACCACTGCTTCTATGCCTCTTGCATGCATTGAGTGCTATGGGATGCAGATCCCTCAAGAAGGGTTCCTTGTTGCCACCGAGGGACTCTTTATCCTAGGATTTGGACGTAATCTCCCTTTCCTTGCATCAAACCTGATTACCTCCCATTCCTCAGGTGCTGTATAACTTGTGCTTCCCACTGATTAGAATATTAAATATGGGATACTATCAATACTTACCTAGTTTAAGAAGAAATAGCTAATAACCCATGGATCTGGAAGTTATTTGCACTCCAGTTGGCCTAACATTTACTCCAGTTCCAAGTGTACCTCCTCCATACTTGATAATAGATTTGAGATCTACATACACTGTACAGTACTACAAATTAAATTGATAGATTTGCCGCACTTAACCTCAGATGGTAAATACTGTACATCAGATGTATTTACTCCTACTAAACTTATGAGGGCACTGTGATTTTCACACTTTTAATATTGTCCCAAATTTTGGCTTCTGGAAAATGCTGGAAAAGTGTATTTTCCTGAATTGCCCTAAACCTGACCAGTTCAGTATAATGAAGCTACACAGTATAATGTTGTACAGTGGACCCCCGCTTTACGATCAGCTCCCAATGCGACCAATTATGTAAGTGTATCTATGTAAGTGCGTTTGTACGTGTATGTTTGGGGGTCTGAAATGGACTAATCTAATTCACAATATTCCTTATGGGAACAAATTCATTCAGTAATGGCACCTGAACTTCTGGAATGAAATAATATCGTTAGCCAGGGGTCCACTGTAATTATAATAACGTATTCAGAATTGTCTGTTATATGGAAAATAGCCATTTAGTCTCAATCTACAATTACAATACTGAATTATACAATAAAACATTAATGTCACTACATACTATGATTTGTATAAAGTGGCAGTAGTATTTATTATAGTAATAATAATAGTAAAAAATAAAAACAAATTATGTTTATACTTTACTGAACGTTGATAATTAAGGTACAAATATGGTAGTGTCCAAGTTTTGGTGTCACATTAGCAACCTTGCAGCATAAGATGCTGTATACATATTCATTAACATTGTTGTATATTTCAATATCTCTATCTTTTATTTTTAAAGTGTGATTATGATTTCTATTAAAAGAGTTTTAATTATTTTTATTTTAAAGAAGCCTTTTTCTTTCAGGAACCTGAGTAGAAACAAGATCACACGTCTGGATGTGAGATCGTTCAAGACACTGAGTTCACTAGCTGAGCTTAAGTTGTCACATAATCTGCTCACCCCTGATACCTTCAACCAATCTGCTCCCATCTTTACCAACCTTACCAACCTCCGATCTCTGTAAGTTTTCTCAGCATTATTTCACTACTAACTTCAGCTTCTGCAATTTAATCTCTGTTAACATATCTATTTTAGTTTATATCATCGAAAATTGTTGTTGTTTAACTATGGGTTTTACTGGTAACTTATTATTTTTCAGTATATTATAATAATTTTGCCATTGTTAATTTTTATTGTTTTACAGAGACCTCAATGGCAACAAACTACACCAGCTGCAGGGCTTGATGTTTGAGGATCTCAAAAAGTTGAAAATTCTTAAGCTACGACGTAATGAAATCACTTCCTTTAGTGATGGTGTGTTCTATGGTTTGGAGTCCATTGAGAAACTGTAAGTTTTGTGATACAGTAAGTCTTTTGTTTAATTGTCTTCATCAGTATTGTACATTAATTAAAATGCAGAATTTTATAAATAAAAACAAACATTTTTCAAATACATACATGTATAGGTTACAATGACTTCAAGCTCTCTCTATCCTTAACATTACTCAACTACTTGTTACACTTTTGGAATAGAGTATTGAAATGTGGAACCTCGACTTACGAGTTTAGTACATTCCATGGCCTAGCTCTTAATTCAATTTGCTCGTATATCAAATAAATTTTCCCCTCATTTAACCCTTTCAGGGTCAAGAGGCCCTCTCCCAAACTCATTCTCAGGGTTGAAAAATTTTCAGAAAGAAAATTATTTTTTCTTATGAAATGATAGAGAATCTTTTTTCGATTGTAATGACACCAAAAGTATGAAATTTGATGGAAAACTTACGGAATTATGTTCTCGTGAAGTTAGCAGTCTCGATGATATTTACACTTTGGCGATTTCGCCCACTTTAAGTCTTATTTTCGGCCAATTCTAATGTTCCAGTCTACTAAAATCATAACTATTTTACTAGAACTCCATTTGTTCTATCAAATGAGTACAGGAAACTGCCCATTTACCGATTTCAACTACCCAATAAAGTGGTCAGAATTTGGCAATTTGGCCAATTTCACACAAATTGATTGATGATTGATGTTGGTTTGCCGGTACTTCCGGCCCGGGTCTTCTCCATATGGCAACCCGGCGGTGGCCCCCTGGGTGGGGGGTGTCGTTTGTCTTCTTCTTTCTTCTGTCTTCTTTCTTGGGGCCCTCTGGTTGGAGGGTGACTTCTCTCTTGTGGTGACTCCCCAGGTGGGGAGTGTCTTCTCGCTTAGCATCTTCATCAGCAGGCGTCTCTAGGGTCTTCGGGCACTTGTTGCCCCAGTGGACTGTTGATTGTGGTGACATGGGCTGTAGGTAGGCTCAGACTATACTACCACCCAGCAAACAAATGCAGGCTCCCAATGGGCTTTTTTGTTTTTTTTAATAAAGCGGTGGGGAAGGAGAATGGTGGGGGTGACAGAAAGGAAGGGTGAGAGAGTAGCGGTGAACATCATCGTCTGCATACGGTGTCATCATCGAGGCGGTGGCTAAGTGGCAAGGACCAGGATGAGTGTTCCCAAGACTCAGTACACCAGCTGGGCTGCCTTGTTTTCCTGGGCAGGTCCCCAGGTGCCATTGGGAAGTGCCATTGTCGAATTGGCACCGTTGCTTCACACAAATCTCAAAAGATGCCAATTTCAAAATAGGGTCTAGAATAAACAAGACAGATATTCCTAGCACTAAACATTTTATCTGTTCATTAGTCACGTCTCCAGGCCCTTCTTACATTACATTTGCTTTCTATTTTAAATTTTTATTCTCACAAAAAATAGAAGAGTTACTGTATTGTATATTATTGCATGATTATAAAAACGGTATAAATAATATCAACATACTTGTGAAAGAATATTATACTCACCAGTTGATGTGTATTGGATGTGTGGCATGATTTGTTTACTCTTGAACATCGGCAAAAATCGAACATTTTCTCTAATTTGAGTTCAGTTTTAAGTTACTTGTCATTGTGAAACCAATCACAATCATCTCTATTTGTGTAATATATCTTCCATTCTATCAAATGAGACCAAGAAAATGAGAATACAACCATAAATACCATACGAAAATACACTGCAAAGTTCCTGTTTTAAACCAAAAACACAGTGGGAGTTTTTTTTTTCTCATTATGCACTGTATGCTGCAGGATTTTTTTTATACTGCACACACTGACCACACAGACCCATTCTTTCATATGTATGCCTACCAGCTTTCTCTCGCTAGATTTGAAGGCTCTACAATTTACAAGTATTAGTACGGCACCAACCCTGGCGTGCTAGCCATACTAGTATGGCACCAACCCTGGAAGGGTTAAATTAATTGAAATGCCATTAATCCGTTCCAATGGAATTCCTGCTCTCAGGAGGCAGGACAAAACACTTCAATATAACCCTAATATCAACTCTACAGCTTATTTATCTATCACAATTGATCTAATATGACATAAACACTATAAATGACATGGAAACATGATATACATATTCTCTAGAATGAATAAAATGTCATTATGTGACGAGTGGTGGCGGCCATTCCCATTCCTGCTCTGACTATATCTTCCCATGCTCTTATTATAAGAGAAAACAGAGTGTTTGTGAGGTTAACTGCACTAAATCACTAGTTTCGTAGAGAAAACACTGAAACAATGTACAGTGGTCCCTCGTTTTTCGTAGTTCTCGGGAATCATAGGGATATTTTCGTATAAACATGGGCTCGCTAATCATAGGTTGACTCGTGAATAGTAGTTCGTCCGGGACGCGTACACACGGTGTGAGCCGGGACGGCCTCCTTACCCAGCCAGTCTGGCATTGTTAACCAGTGAGCGAAGGTCCCCTCACGTGCTCCTACGAAATATTTCATAATATTCCACTCATTTTAGTGCTTGCAAGCACTAAATAAGCTACCATGGCTCCAAAGAAAGCTCCTAGTGCCAAGCCTGTGGTAAAGAAGGTGAGAAATACGATTGAATTTAAGAAAAACATCAGCAGGAACAGCAACAGATCGCAGCTCAGAATCTTTCTGCAGAGGAGGAGGAAGAGAGATGGAAGAAGGTGCCTTCTTCAGAAATTAAAGAGATTTTTGCTATGTGGGGTAAGATGGAAAGCTTTATGGAGAAAGATCACCCTGGCAAGGTTGTTGCAAGCCATGTTGGCAACATGTACACTGACAAAGTCTTGGGCCATTTTTGGGAAGTGTTAAAGAGACGCCAGAAACAGAGCTCTCTCCACAGTTATTTTGCAAGACAGGACTCCAGTGACTCTCAAGGTGGTCCTAGTGGCATTAAGAAACAGAGAAGAGAAGCAACCCCAGAAAAGCAATTGGTACCTGAGGTGTTGATGGAATGGGATTCCCCTTCCAAACTGTAAACAATCCAATCTCTCTCCTCCTCCAGTCTCCCATACACTGAAGAATCTCCAATAAAGGTAAGTTTTGTGTTGTTAATGTTTCATTCATCATTTTCCATTGTATTGTTTATGTACTACATGTATATTTCATGTAAAAAATTTTTTTGTTTTAATACTTCTGGGTGTCAGGAATGGACTAACTGTATTTACATTATTTCTTATGGGGAAAATTGATTCGAAAGTCATAATTTCGATAATAGTAGCAACTCCAGGAACGGATTAACTACGAAAAACAAGGGACCACTGTATTTATAAATAAGAAATATTGTATAAAAACATAATAGAGAATGTAAAGAAATAAACTGGTTATATAAAGTGTATGTACATGTTTACCTTGGAAAAGAGATGCTGGCAGAGCTTGAGGGTGGAAAAGATAGGCATTGTGGTGTATGCTGTCAGTGGCCCTATAAACAACAACAACATCGCTTAACTTACTTGCTATACTCTTAATGCTACACTTTATCGCTAAACTTGGCTGCTACAATTTTTTTTTTTAACTTGGCTGGCGCTATAGCCTTTATCGACTCCTGCTTTAGTATCGTACACATGGTAGAAGTACTATGCTCGTACTGCCTGGCCAAGTCCACAATCCGCACACCTCGCTTGTGTTTATCTATGATTTCATGCTTTAATTTCATGGACATCATCCTCTTTTTCTCCTCAGCACTGGTTAGAAAAAAGAAATTTGGCAAAATAACTGCACAAAACACAAGAGAAATGCTTCCACGGTGAGATAAACACGTGCACTGCTGAGGGATGTGGTGTTCGCTGCGCCAACTAGTGACAGCGTTCTGAAGCTCGCTCATTATTATTACAGTGGACCCCTGGTTATCGGCTGGTTTTTCGGCGCTCGGTTATCGGCCATTAATTCGGTTATCGGCCATTTGGGAGGCACCCATCCGCCAGCTGGGGCCGCTTGCTAGTCAGTTTGGCTTTGTTTCCAGGCGAGTGAGGGAGCTTCTGCTTATTCATCCAAACATTTTGCTATAATCCATTGGTTTTTGTGGTTATTGATCGAGTACAACTGCAAAATAAGCAACCATGGGCCCAAAGAAACATGTTACATAGTATATGAAAACATGCATTGTTTATATGCAATGTATATTTAATAATAAACAGTATATTTAATAATAAATAATAAACATACCTCTATGGACAGATTTGTTGTGAGACAGGGGTCCAGTGTCTCTCAAGCTGGTCCTAGAAGCATTAAAAGACAAAGAAGAAGTTACCCCAGAGAAGGCTTTGATACCTAAAGTCTTTATGGAGGGGGATTCCCCTTCCAAACACTAACTCCTCCCTCTTTCCTCTTCCCTATCTTCCAGAAGCCACCATTAGCCTTCAATAAAGGTATGTAAAACTTACATAATTGTTAAAAAAATTATTTTTTTGTGAATATTTTTATCTGGAATGGATTAATTGTATTTCCATTAATTCTTATGGGAAATATTAATTCGGTTTTCGGCCATTTCGGTCATCAGCTGACCTTCTGGAATGGATTACGGTCGATAACCGAGGGTCCACTGTATTATTATAATGGGGAAGTGCTAAACTCATAGGATTATACAGTGCCTGTGGGGGGAAGGAGAGGGTGAAGGTATTCAGGCTTAATTTAGGGAACTGGAACACAGATTCAGTTCCCTAGATCAAGAGCCCCTCACCAGTGTCAAGAAACCTCTCTTGAGGGGGAAGCTTGCGTGTAACTCAGATTTTGGCTCATAACTCAGAGCAGATAATTGACCTAGCGACGGCTCATATCTTGAAAAACTCGTACGTAGGGGCACTCGTAAGTCGAGGTTCCACTGTTCATTGTTTTATTCCAGTACTGTATCCATTCCTAATTAAATTACAGTTTGCTTCTCTAATATATTATTTTAGGTTGACAAAATTGTCTACTCTGTTTATTCTTTCTCATTTATATTTTTTTATAATTTTTTTTTAAATATGGTCTTTCCTGTATCTTGGTATACGCATTATCTGGTCACTTTTTTCTTGGCCAGCTTTCCATATTAATTCCTTAAGTATGGTGTCCCATATCCAATACAAGGAGTTTCTCAAATATAACTGTAAACATCATGAATATAATTCCATATTGTGAGAATCAAGATATTTCAATGCAGTGTACTACATGCATTAGACCTGCAATTTTCATTACTTCATGGGAATATATTTAACTTGTCTTATTTTTTCATAGATTTTTGGACTACAACAACATAACAACAGTGTATGCAGGATGGTTGTTTGGCCTGAGGTCACTTGCGCATTTGTCTCTCAGTTACAACCAGATTGACTCCATCCGACCTAATGCTTGGCAGTCTACAAAACAACTGATTTCACTGTAAGTGCTCTGTAAGAATATGTGTGATCAACTTGCACTTCTTACGAAGAAATTTCCTTTCATGCAGCAGATTTAATAATGCTTAGTGTATTTTACTTATTGTAAATATAGTGACTGAGTTACCCCTAAGGGTAAGGAAAAAATGTAAATGTGCATATGTGGTATAAAAGTAAGTTTTATGGGCTCATGTATGTGATATACCAATTAACTTTTTTTTTTTTAGTGAGTCTTAAGGGTACATACAAAGTAAATTATGTAAGTTTAATCTAGGACAACCCAGTTTAGGTCATCTTGGATCCCATTTCAACATGTTCCATTCTATTCATGAAGAAATATTGTACATATTAGAAATGTGGTTTTACATTCTTTTTGTTAATAGTACAGCCTGTACCAAAAACTCCCCTCAAGGAAGGTTCCTTGATGCTGGTGAGGGGCTCTTGATCTAGGGATTTCGATCCGTGCTCCAATTCCCTGAATTAAACCCGAATATCTTCCACATCCCCCATAGGCGCTGTATAATTGTACGGGTTTAGTGCTTTCCCCTTGTTTATAATAATAATGTACTAAAAAATCCTATGGTTTTCTAATGTATATAAGGATATTCTCTCTTCATATCAACCAGTGCAGGAATTTCTTAGGTTTTCATTATTTCTTCATAACTTTTATCTTGACTCTGGAAACTATTTTGCAGAATTTTTCCATTTTATTTTTTTTTTTACAGCGCAGACAACCCATGCCAAATTTTGTCTTAGGTTGTGCAATAGCTTTGCTCATCATTTCACCATACATATGCTGTTCTACACTATTATACAGTGCAATTTTAATTAATTTAATACAGTATCAAGCACCTGTTGTGTAAGATGTAACTTGTAGCATATATTTGGGCCAGTAATTTTTCTGTACGCATAACAATGTTTAATGGGATAATGTGCTTCTTTAACCCTTAAACTGTCCAAACGTAGATCTACGTCCACGTGCTGGAGGCTCCGAATGTAGATCTACTTTTTTTTTTACATGCTTTCAAATGGGGAGAATCAAGGTCAGAGCGCTACGCACGTGAACGTAGATCTACGTTTGCACAGTTTAAGGGTTAATGTTGCCCTGCTTAACAGGGCAGCATTAAGTGCTAATGTAACACTTGTGTTGCTCAGGCTGGTACAGATGGGGACCAACCAAAGTTCATGTGGAGGAAGGACAATCAGTTGTTGGTTGATTTTGAGCCTAAAATTCGAATCAGTGTGGGTGAAGGTGGAACCATACACAATGTAACTTCTTTGCTTCATTTGCATAATGTTTCTGATCAAGATAGTGGTGAATACCAGTGTTAAGCAGCATAAGGCTGTACTGTTAGGAGAATGTTGCAAAGAAAGTATTCAGTGAATTGCAAGTACAGTAATTATATTAATAGATAGCCATATTGCCTTTCTAGAAATTGCTCACTCATGAAACAATCGTAATTAAACTCGTTCATGTAAAGAAAGGTTAATATTTCAATTTTTTTTTTTTTTTTTTTTTCAACAAGTCGGCCGTCTCCCACCGAGGCAGGGTGACCCAAAAAAAAGAAAGAAAATCCCCAAAAAGAAAATACTTTCATGATCATTCAACACTTTCACCACACTCACACATTATCACTGCTTTTGCAGAGGTGCTCAGAATACAACAGTTTAGAAGCATATACGTATAAAGATACACAACATATCCCTCCAAACTGCCAATATCCCAAACCCCTCCTTTAAAGTGCAGGCATTGTACTTCCATTTCCCAGGACTCAAGTCCGACTATATGAAAATAACCGGTTTCCTGAATCCCTTCACTAAATATTACCCTGCTCACACTCCAACAGATCGTCAGGTCCCAAGTATCATTCGTCTCCATTCACTCCTATCTAACACATCCAAGCCCCTCGCCCACAAAACCTCCTTTACTCCCTCTTTCCAACCCTTTCGAGGACGACCCCTACCCCTCTTTTCCTTCCCCTATAGATTATATGCTTTCCATGTCATTCTACTTTGCTCCATTCTCTCTAAATGACCAAACCACCTCAACAACCCCTCTTCTGCCCTCTGACTAATGCTTTTATTAACTCCACACCTTCTCCTAATTTCCACACTCCGAATTTTCTGCATAATATTTACACCACACATTGCCCTTAAACAGGACATCTCCACTGCCTCCAACCGTTCTCCTCGCTGCTGCATTTACCACCCAAGCTTCACATCCATATAAGAGTGTTGGTACTACTATACTTTCATACATTCCCTTCTTTGCCTCCATAGATAACGTTTTTTGACTCCACATATACCTCAACGCACCACTCACCTTTTTTCCCTCATCAATTCTATGATTAACCTCATCCTTCATAAATCCATCCGCCGACACGTCAACTCCCAAGTATCTGAAAACATTCACTTCTTCCATACTCCTCCTCCCCAATTTGATATCCAATTTTTCTTTATCTAAATCATTTGATACCCTCATCACCTTACTCTTTTCTATGTTCACTTTCAACTTTCTACCTTTACACACATTATCAAACTCATCCACTAACCTTTGCAATTTTTCTTTAGAATCTCCCATAAGCACAGTATCATCTGCAAAAAGTAACTGTGTCAATTCCCATTTTGAATTTGATTCCCCATAATTTAATCCCACCCTCTCCCGAACACCCTAGCATTTACTTCTTTTACAACCCCATCTATAAATATATTAAACAACCATGGTGACATTACACATCCCTGTCTAAGACCTACTTTTACCGGGAAGTATTCTCCCTCTCTTCTACACACCCTAACCTGGGCCTCACTATCTCATAAAAGCTCTTTACAGCATTTAGTAACTTACCACCTATTCCATAAACTTGCAACATCTGCCACATTGCTCCTCTATCCACTCTATCATATGCCTTTTCTAATCCATAAATGCAATAAAAACTTCCCTACCTTTATCTAAATACTGTTCACATATATGCTTCAATGTAAACATTTGATCTACACATCCCCTACCCACTCAAACCTCCTTGCTCACCCGCAATTTACATTCTGTCTTCCCCTCTAATTCTTTCAATTAAAACTCTACCGTAATTTTCCCCTGGATTCAGTAAACTTATTCCTCAAAATTTTTACAGTTCTTTTGCCCCCTTTTCCCCTTTTTATATAAAGGGACTATACATGCTCTCTGCCAAATCCAGGTCCCTTTCCCCCTCTTTCATATTTATTAAACAAAAGTACAACCACTCAACATATATCCCCCTGTTTTTAAACATTTCTGTCAGATCCCATAAAAATTATATTTATTATTTTTTTTTGGCTTTATTTTTTTAAATGCGGCTATTAATTTTATGAAAAGCTTTATATGTTTTTAAATTTTTTCAGGGACCTTAGTCTAATCTTTTGGTGCCCTGGGGAAGGAACATTCAGGGGCTAGGTTCCTCACGATTTTGCCTCGCACAACACCTTGACATATGAAAGGATTCATTTGAGTTACCCCCAGTCTTTCACTCGTGAGTTGTGCTTAAATTTTTAGTTTTGTTATACCTGACATTTTTGCCATTTACATTTTTCTTTTTTTGAATAACGTATTATTATTTAAATTACAAATTTTTTACACAAATTTTTCAATTATTTCGGGGATCTTGGCCAAATGAATATTTGGAGGGGAGGGAAAATTTGGGGGAGATTTAGCAAACGGGAAAACCCAAAGACACTGTCCGGGCCCTAAAATGTTATTGAAAATGTGCATGTTGAAACTTTTGTTCCCGGGTGTCTCTGCTCTTTGATCTCAGGGAATCGTTCGTCCCCTACCTCTAACCCTTTCTTAGGTCTGAAACATTTAAAATTCAGTAAGCTAAAACCTCTACCTTTGTGTGTGATTGTCACCTATTATGGCTGCCAGGAGGGTTTGTCTTATCAATTAATCCCTCCTCCTCTTTTACAATCTCTTGCAATTATCCACCTGGCCTTCGAGATCGCCTATATATCCCTCTTTAGTACTGATTTTTAGCTGTGAGTCATCACCTCGTCCCCCAAAACAGTCATCCCAAAGGGTCAGATTGTGTTGCATGGTGATAAGTAAAAATTTTCTTGTGTTTCTCAAGCTGGTTCAGATGGGGGAAAAAAACCCAAAGTTAAGTGGAGGAAGGACAATCAGTTGTTGGTTTATTTTTAGCCGAAATTCGAAACAGTGTGGGTTTGGGGTGATGGGGAAGGTGGAACCTAACTGTAATTCTTTGCTTCATTTCAAATGTTTCTGATCAAGACAGTGGGGAATACCAATGTTTTTCGGAAAACCTATGGAGTGTTACTCTCAACGTGCTAACATTCAAGTTCACGTTTTTCCTTACTTCACCAAGACACCAGCTAGTGTGGCTGTACGTATGGGAGAGGTGGCCAAACTGGAATGTGTTGCTAAAGGTTCTCCAACTCCTGAAATCTCCCTCTTAAAAGTTGGAGGAGATGATTTTCCAGCTGCTAGGGAGCGACGAATTCATGTTTTCCAAATGAAACTTCTTCTTCATTAAGCCAGTTACAACCTCATGATGAGGGTCAATATACATGCAAGGCCACTAATGCAGCAGGTACGGCTTCTGCGCATGCTTCTGTAACAGTACGACAGATACCAGAATTCATCAAACCATTACAAGATGAAGTTGCTCGACTTGGAGATAATGCTCTTTTGAATGTCTGGTAAGTTATGAGTGTTGTTTGAAATAAATTAAAAAAAAATGTATGGATCTATGAAGCATTGTTGAGGGTGTAAAGTTCAGACATTTTAGCTGTTTGTTTTGGGTAAAATTATTTATTTTCACCGGTTGATATGGCTAACTTAAGGGGAAACATTTGCTGCGTCTTGTTTTTAAAAAGTTTTTAGAAAGACTACAGATTGTTTCACCATAGATTTTAAGTGGGAAAATATAAGTAAACAGACATAAGGCAAAGGAACGACTAAGTGACAAAAGAGTAGGGAAACTATATTTTTTAAGGATACCGAGGTCAGTAGAATGTTCAGTGAAAGATGTACTCTAGGCTCATGTACAGTAATATAAAACTACATAAATCAAGGTTTATGTCAGTGTATAATTTACTCATTCTGATTTTTGAAGCCAAAAATACAATTGAGTATTTATATTTTTAAAATTATTAAACAGGGCACTGGGCTTCCCACACCAAGGATAACCTGGAGCAAGAATGGTAAACCCTTAATAGATGATGGTCGCTACGTGTTAGTAGAGAACAGCCGATACCTGTTGATCAAAGAGACTCAAACAGATGATGTTGGAACCTATGTCTGTGAATTGACCAACATTCTAGGCACAGCACGTGGAAATATCAATTTCTCCATAAGAGGTAAAATCATCAGTATATTAGTTTAAATGTCTACATTTCTTTAGATAATATTTTTACAAATCTACAAATATTTTCTGCAGAGGCCTTATTAACCTTTCCATTAGTATGTGGTCCATATGATTAGTAATAAAATGAGGAAAGGAGAGTAAGGAAATATATTACAGTGGTCCCTCTTTTTCATAATTAATCTGTTCCTGGAAGTGTGACTATTATCGAAATTGGCGATTTTCGAATCCATTTTCCCCATAAGAAATAATATAAATCCAATTAATTTGTTCCAGACACCCAGAAGTATCAAGTTCTTTTTTTTACCTTATAGATTTACATGCATAAAAGAATGAACATTCAACATGACAGTTACCTTTACTGAAGGCTGTTGATGATGAATGGAAGACAGGGAGGAGAGAGGGAAGAGAGGTTATTGTTTGGAAGGGGAATCCCCCTCCATAAGGACTCTAGGTCACTTCAGGGGTCACTGCCCTAGCTTAAATATAGATTTACATGCAGAAAAGAATGCCAAATAAATGTAAAGCACTAATAAAATGTATAAATGAACATTTAAGAAAGGAGGAACACTGCAGCAGGCCTGTTGGCCCATACTAGGCAGGTCCTTTACAATCAATCCCACTAACAAAACATTTGCCCAACCCAATTTTCAATGCTCCCCAAGAAATAAGGTCTGATAACTCTATCCACTCATTTGCAAGTCCCACTCAAATCCAACCCCTCCCACTCGTATATTTATCCAACCTAAATTTGAAGCTACCTAAAGTCCTAGCCTCAATAACCCAACTAGGTAGACTGTTCAACTCATCAACTACTCTATTTCCAAACCAATACTTTCCTATGTCCTTTCTAAATCTAAACTTGTCTAATTTAAATCCATTACTGCAGGTTCTCTCTTGGAGAGAGATCCTCAAGACCTTATTAACCCTTTGAGGGTTTCGGACGTACTAGTACGGCTTACGACCCAGGGTTTTTGACGTACTAGTACGCCTAAATTCTAGCGCCCTCAAATCTAGTGGGAGAAAGCTGGTAGGCCTTCATATGAAAGAATGGGTCTATGTGGTCAGTGTGCACAGTCTAAAAAAAATCCTGCAGCACACAGTGCATAATGAGAAAAAAAAACTGACCATTTTTTTGGAATAAAACAGCGACTTTGCACTGTATTTTCGTATGGTATTTATTGTTGTATTCTAGTTTTCTTGGTCTCATTTTATAGAATGGAAGACACATTACAGAAATTGAGATGATTTTGACTGGTTTTACAATGAAAGGTACCTTGAAATTGAGCTCAAAGTAGCAGAAATGTTCGATTTTTACCAAATTTCAAAAGTAAACAAATCGTGCCCAAGACTGATCCCTGTGGAATGCCACTTGTTACAGATCCCCACTCAGATTTAACTCCATTTGTGGACTCTCTGCTTCCTGTCTGTGAGCCATGACTCGATCCACGAGAGCACTTTCTTTAACAGTCTTTGGTGAAGAACTCAATCAAAAGCCTTACTAAAATCTAAATAATATCAAATTCTTTATCATGATCAACAGCCTCAAAAGCTTTACTGAAGAAAGTTAATAAATTAGTTAGACAAGAACGGCCTCTCGTGAAACCATGCTGAGTATCATTAATCAAGCTATGCTTATCGAGATGGCTTCTTATAATCTCAGCTATAATTAACTAGTAATTTGCCTACAATTGAGGTCAAGCTTATTGGGCAGTAATTTGATGGTAATGACTTGTCCCCTGCTTTAACCCTTTGACTGTTTTCGACATATAAATACGTCTTACGAGCCAGTGTTTCTGACGTATATATACTCAATAATTCTAGCGGCTTCAAATCAAGAGTGAGAAAGCTGGTAGGCCCACATGTGAGAGAATGGGTCTGTGTGGTCAGTGTGCACCACATAAAAAAAATCCTGCAGCACACATTGCGTAATGAGAAAAAAAAAACTGATCGTTTTTTTGGAATAAAACGCCGACTTTGAGGTGTATTTTCGTATAGTATTTATCGTTGTATTCGCGTTTTCATGGTCTTAGGTGATAAAATGGAAAACGTATTATAGAAATAGAGATGATTTTCATTACTTTTACGATGAAAACGACCTTGAAACTGAGCTCAAAGTAGCGGAAATGTTCGATTTTTACCAATGTTCAAGAGTACATAAATCACACCACACGTCCAATACACGTCAACTGGGGAGTCTAATATTCTTTCACTAGTGCACTGATATTATTTATACCATTTTTACAATAATGCAGTCGTCTGCATAACAGTAATTTTTGTATTTTTTTGTATGAATAAAAAATCAAAATAGAAAGCAATAATAATATAAGAGGGGCCTAGAGATGTGAGTAATGAACAGAGCATATGTTATTTTAGTGCCACGAATGTCTACCTTGTTTATTCTGGACCCTATTTTGAAATTGGCATCTTTTTTATTTTGCGTGAAATTGGCGAAATTGCCAATTTCTGACCACCATATTGGGTAGTCCAAATTAGTAAATGGGAGGTTTCTTGTACTCAGCTGATAGATAAAATGGAGTTCTAAAGAAATAGCTATGAGTTTGGTCAACTGGAACAATGGAATTGGCTGAAAATTGGGCTCAAAGTCGGCGAAATCGCCGATACGCATATGTCGCCGAGACCGCTAACTTCGCGGGAGCATAATTCCACGAGTTTTCGACCAAATTTCGAACTTTTGGTGTCATTACCATCGGGAAAAGATTCTCTATCATTTCATAAGAAAAAATAATTTTTTTTTTTCAAAAATTGAGCGACATAGAATGACAGTTTCAGAGAGGGGCCTGAAACAGTCAAAGGGTTAAAAATAGGAATTACATTAGCCATCTTCCACATATCAGACACTACACCCGTTTGAAGAGATAAATTAAAAATATTAGTTAATGGTTCACAGAGTTCCATTTTGCATTCCTTAAGAACCCTTGAAAAAAGCTCATCAGGACCCGGCGACTTATTTTGCTTCAGTCTGTCTATCTGCTTCACAACCATTTCACGAGTGACTGTGATGTTACATTTATCTTCTTCAGGCCCACTATAAAAATTAATTACTGGAATATTGTTAGTGTCTTCCTGTGTAAAAACCGAGAGAAAATAATTATTTAAAATCGAGCACATTTCATTCTCTCTGTCAGTAAGATGCCCATAGTTATTTTTAAGGGGGCCTATCTTATCTCTAACTTTTGTTCTATAGACCTGGAAAAAACTTTTTGGGTTAGTTTTCGAATCTCTAGCAACTTTAATTTCATAGTCCCTTTTAGCTTTTCTTATCCCTTTTTAATGTCCCTCTTAATGTCAATATACTGATTCATAAGATGACCCTCACCTCTTTTGATACGGCTATAAATTCCCTTCTTATGCCCTAGTAGATATTTCAGCCTATTATTCATCCATTTTGGGTCATTTCTATTTGATCTAATTTCTTTATACGGGATAAACGTTCTTTGAGCAGCATGTATAGTGTTCAGAAAACTGTCATATTGATAGCTCTCTTCATCACTCCAGTCAACAGATAAGTGTTCTCTAAACCCCTCGTAATCTGCTAAGCGAAAATCTGGGACTGTTACTGAGTTATCCCTACTATCATACTTCCATTCAATGCTAAATGTAATTGATTTGTGGTCGCTAGCACCGAGTTCCTCTGAAATTTCTAAATTATTAACAAGGGATTCATTGTTTGCCAGAACTAAGTCAAGCAGGTTATTTCCCCTTGTAGGTTCTGTCACAAACTACTTCAAAAAACAATCCTGAACTACTTTTAAGAAGTATGATTCTAAATTCCCAGTCAAGAAATTCCAATCAATATGACTAAAGTTAGTCTCCTAGAATTATTACATTATCGTGCCTTGTGACCTTAACAATTTCCTCCCATAGTAGTCTCCCTTGGTCCCTATCTAAGTTTGGGGGATGGTATATCACACCTAAAATCAATTTTCATGCCCCTCTGAAAATTCTATCCAAACAGACTGTGTGTGTGTTACTTCAGACTTAATACTCGTTTTTATGCAACAGTTCAAGTGATCTCGGACATACAATGCCACCCCACCCCTCTTCCCGATACTTCTATCTACTTGGAACAATTTAAAACCCTGAATGTGACATTCCACAGGCATGTCCCAACTTTTTGAATTAAACCACATCTCAGTTATGGCAAATACATCAATGTTACCTGCACTAGCAGCTAATCTCAATTCGTCCATCTTATTCATAGCACTATGGCTATTAGCATAATATACATTGAAAGACTCTCCTTTCTCTTTATCCTTCCTGCTCATTTCTGTTTTTCTACTAAACCTATTACTGTCCTTATCACCTAGTGTCACTGGCTTTTCAATATCTACCTCATTCTGGTTATTAATAGTTCCCCAAGAACTCATAATATTTCTACATTGGGACTTCACTGTTTTCCTGCCAAAACCCATACCACTATTCCTAGTTTAAAGTCCTAACAGCTCCCTCCACTGCAGTTGCCAGTGCCCCCACCCCAGACCAAGATAAGTGAACCCCATCCCTGGCATACATGTCATTTCTACCATAGAAGAGGTCCCAGTTGTCAATGAATGTTACCGCATTTTCCTTACAGTATTTGTCCAGCCAGCAGTTGACACCAATTGCCCTGGACAACCATTCATTTCCAACTCCTCTCCTTGGCAAAATACCACATATGACAGGGTTCCCACCCTTCCTCCTAATTATTTCTATTGCTGACCTATACCTGCTAATCAGGTCCTCACTCCTACGTCTGCCAACATCATTGCCTCCAGCACTGAGACAGATAATAGGATTACTCCCATTACCTCTCATGATGTCATCCAGACGGCTAACAATATCCTCCATCCCTGCCCCAGGAAAGCAAACCCTCTGTCTCCTACTCCTGTCCTTCAAGCAGAACGCACTATCCATGTACCTAACTTGGCTATCCCCAACAACAACAATATTCTTACTTTCCTTGGTGTCGTTCGTCGTGACATTCCCAGTAGTCGACTCACATTCGTCGGGTAGCACAGAGAATGCATTAGATGTTTCCACAGCAGTCTCTTTCTTCTTCATCGTTTCTACCTTTCCATTTGTCTTCTTGATCGTTAACTTTGTTCCATGCTGTCCAGCCACTGACCAGTTTCCCTTCTTGACCTGAGGACTCAAACATCACACTTACCTTTTGTTGGTGTATGGCAGAGGGAGGGGAGGCGAGTTTATTGTTGGAGAATATGACACTAATATCAACTCTACAGCTTATTTATCTATCACAATTCAACTAATATGACATAAACAATATTAATAACATAGAAACATGGAATATACTCTAGAATGAATAAAATAAGTCATTATGTATGTCACGAGAGGTGTTGTGTTGTTGGGTGTGTAAGGGCCACTGTGAGTAAGCCGTCCATAATGGTGGTGAAGCAGCAGCTGAGGTGGCGGTGTTTTCTGTAGCCTGCATAACTCCAACAACATTGGAGGATACACAAATAACCCGCACATAAAAGAGAGAAGCTTACGATGACGTTTCGGTCCGACTTGGACCATTGACAAAGTCACACAGTGTGACTTTGTCAATGGTCCAAGTCGGACCGAAACGTCGTCGTAAGCTTCTCTCTTTTATGTGCGGGATATTTGTGTATCGTTCCAGTCACGGTATTGTGCCTTTTTGTTATTTACATTGGAGGAGTTGGTAGAATTGCTGAATCACTAAAGAAGGCACCCTCTACCACCATCGCTACCACTGTCTACCACTATCAACTGCTAGCACCTTCTACCACCCTCTACCACTATCACAACTGCTTCCACTCTACCACCACCACCTTCGTATTTTTCTACAAACTTTTTCTTAAATTATATGCGTTTCTCACATTCTTTACCAAAGGGCTGGCACTAGAAGCTTTCTTTGGAGTCGTGATGACTTATTTAGCAGTTGCAAGCACTAAAACGAATGGAATACAGTGGACCCTCAACTAACGATATTAATTGGTACCCAAGACCGAATATCGTTAGTCGAGTTTTTTTAGTGTTAGGTGAGGCAAAATGTTAGCGTTAAAATGTATCGCTAATCGAATTTAACGTTATACGATGCCATTGTTGGTCGAGGGTCCACTGTATTATGAAATGTATGGTATGAACTCATGGGATCATCCTTGCTCACTGATAAACAATGGCACACTGGCTGGGAATGGAGTGTGAGGTGGCTCGGGGCTGTGTGTACACGTCCCAGACGAACAACTGTTTGCGAGTCAAATGACGATTCACGAGCCAATGTTTTGACGAAAATAACGTTATGATTTTCGAAAATTACGACTATTGAGCCTTACGATTATTGAGGGACCACTGTATTTGCCAGTCTTGCTTAAGCAGGACACAAAAGATATCTACCCACTACAAGGATACACAGCAATCCACAAATGCAGACCATACCAAGTTGGGGGTGGTATTGCAATCTATTACTCTAACCAACTATCTTGTATTAGCACCACTTGCTTTAGTGATGAATATTGGGAATACATTTTTGCTAATTTTACTGTAAAAAACCTTAAGATGCCTATAACAATCGGTGCCATTTACGGGATACCCCACACAAACATCCCAAATTTCAGTGAGAATCTAAAGGCACTAATAACAAACAGACTAATGAACAAGCACCACCTTCTCTTAGCTGGAGACTTCAATATCAATCTTGGCCTACCAGACGATCAGCCTGTAAATGATTTCAACAACAATATGAACAACACACTTCTCATACCGACAATAACTAAACCAACCAGGCTGACTGAGACAAGTGCAACCATAATAGAACACATATGGACCAATATACTAGCCCCCCTTAATTAAATCAGGAATGATCACAGACAGCACTACAGACCACTACCCAACCTTCCTCTTAACAAACATTAGTAAGCCACCACTCAAATACAACAAAGTTTCATTTAGACTCCATGACGAGGCCTCAATAAGTAATTTCACGGACATAGCCTCATCAACACAGCCACTTGATACTGGAGTTCCGCAGGGAAGTGTCCTTGGTCCCCTGCTCTTCCTCATTTACATTAATGATCTTCCAAACGTATCCCAACACCTGAAACCCATTCTCTTTGCTGATGACACGACTTACGTCATCTCCCACCCTAATCTTGCCACCCTCAACACCATTGTCAACGAGGAGCTGCTCAAAATATTGACTTGGATGACAGCCAATAAACTTACACTTAACACTGACAAAACCTACTACATTATGTTTGGTAGCAGAGCAGGTGTTGCGCAACTTAACATTAAGAGCGACAACACTCTGATTGCCAGACATAATGAGGGCAAATTCCTAGGTCTATACCTCGACAAGAACCTAAATTTCAGCACCCATATCTAACACACACAAAAAAAAAAAGTATCCAAAACGGTGGGGATCCTCTCCAATATACGATATTATGTGCCGCAAACTGCCCTTCTCATTCTATACCATTGACTCATTTATCCATACCTCACCTATGCTATTTGTGCTTGGGGATCAACTGCAGCAACACGCCTAAATCCAATAACAACCCAACAAAAAGCCGCAGTAAGAATAATCACTAAATCCCATCCCTGGCAACACACCCCCCCACTCTTCATAGATCTAAACTTACTCCTTGTTCAGAACATCCACACTTACTACTGTGCAATCTTTATCTACAGGACCTTAAATTCCAATATTAACCTTGACCTAAAATGCTTTCTTGATAGTTGTGACAGGATCCACAGGCATAACACCAGACACAAACATCTCTATGACATTCCCCGTGTCCGACTAAACCTTTACAAAAATTCAATGCGTGTCAAAGGGCCTAAAATCTGGAACACCCTACCTGAGAACTCTAGAACTGCAGACACATTCATCACTTTCAAAACTACAGTTAGAAAACATCTTATCTCCCTGATACACCCCATCAACTAACTACATGAAAACCACCTGGTGGTTCACACTTACACTCACTCGCCCACCCATTGACTATAAACCCAGAAATACAAATCTTAATCTTAAAATAATGTATCCTAACTAGTCATAAGTTTGCCTATGATACTCCAATATAGACACTATGTATTGTGCCAAAGCAAAAGCATTCACATTGCTAAACTCACAAACTATAATATAGTCACTTAGCCTTAATACCATAATCTGTAATAATTTAAAATTAAGAATTAATCTAAGTCTGCCCGAAATGCCTAGCCATGCTAGGTGTCCTAGTGCCCCCCTCTGTAATTAGTATTTTAAAACATGTAAACCACACAATATCCAAAATCTGTAAACCCCGCATTGTAATCCTTGTAGAGAATAAACTTGATTGATTGATTGGTTGAAATTAGAGGTTTATGAATTATTATAATAAAAAAGAAACACTAAACCACAAGGGCTAGAGGCTTGTGAAAATATAATAAAGTCATCATGTGTTTGGCATCACTGCCAAAAACGTGAACATCACCATGAGCAAAACCCACACAAAATAAATACATATGTACTGTCCTTTACCTAAGTGATTTAGATCTGTCGTGAGCCACATGCTGATTTATTATATTCAAGGGTAAGCACTGTTGTGCAGTTATAGGTAGTTGCAACTATAATAGTGGTGGGCTATGGAACACCAGGTACATATATAGAAGCATGGACCAATTGAAGACCACATAATTACTTTCCTCTTGTATGAAATAGTGTATAAATTATTGGAGCAAAAATTTACCATGGCATGTTAAAAAAGGAATTGTTGTTTAAGCCATGTTTCAATTTCATTCATTTTCTTTAATGAAAAGAATAACTGTATGGCCTTACTGTTTTCAGATATGACAAATACATCAACAACAACTGGTATTGTAATCATAGCAGTGGTGTGTTGTGTAGTATTAACTTCCCTAGTTTGGGTGGTTATCATACACCAGACCAGAAAGCGAGCTCAAACTAGTGCTTTAGGCCCTCCCTCTGGGTACCCAAGGGAAGATGGACTTGGTCGATATCCACCCCACCTGCCTACACACCATCATTTACCACCAGACCTTGTGCACACTTTCACTCCACTTTTAGCCACTGCTCCTGAAACTTATACCATAGCAGGACAGGACAGTGGATCAGAACATTCCAGTGAGAAAGATTCAGGAACAGGTGATTCTGCACAACGATCCAGTGAAGACTTGCTGCCTTTAGATCTCACTCGTCCAGGTCTCCGCAGATCAATGATCATTTGCGCAGATACTGGAACGCCCTCAATCCTGAGAGGTTAGTACAACTGTGTGCTTAACATATTGTTTATTTTATGACTGTGTCATACATTCACAGAAATTTTTGACACCACATGAGTCAGTCAGTGTTGTCTAGCATGGATTGCAGAAACATGATAGTGATAATAAGGACGAAAGAAGGTATTAGTTTGTGTAAAAAATAAAATTCAGTTAAGTGATAGATTTAATCTACATTAAAGGTGAACTTATAGATAGGAGAGCAGACTGGGAAAAGCAATAGCTAATTAAATTTACCTCTACAAAAATCTAGATGGTTTTAAAAACCATGTGCTGAAGATTATGCTGTAAATGCAAGAAAGTCTGCAAAGAAATGGCACATCTTGTATTTGTTTGACAGCACTGGCTGCAGAAAACTATATAATGAGGTTAAACCTATCATTTCTAAGAGAACCTCCAGTACCAGAAATATGTACAAAACCAGTATTCTCAGGGTTCCCTACCAGGCTCAACTTTATGGACTGGGAGAAAATTGACTGCAGCCATCAGTAGCTTTTTTCTTGGTATACCTTTTTTGAGAACTACAAATTCATCATTGATCATTCAGTCCTCGGCTGACTGAATGAGATATCAAACAATATAACTAAATGAATAACTCATGAATAGGCCCACACTTTACTCTGGTATGTTGTTGAACATACTTTAAAATTACCTCACCACTAACATTACTGTATTATACATTTAAGGGGCAAGTATTGAACCCATACAGGTCATGCAGCACCTGGGGAATAGAAGGTAATTAAGTTTGATCCAAGGGAGGATAAATCCAATTGATTGGATCAAGAACCCCACACCAGCATGAGGGAATAAGATTTAGGTCAGACTTTAAAATGTGCTAAGATAGACACGGGATGGGTATTTTAGAATCTTTTACTAGTGGTACAATACTTTCTACACTGCTCCAAAAATTTAAAATTTCTTTCAGGTGTAAGTGCTGGTCCAGGTGAAATAATTGGATGTGAAGAGATCATGGGTCGTCCAAGACTCTCAACCTTTAGTCCACAGCATCTGTCTCCAGGAGGATACAGCCCTAACCTCTATACCGCGAGTCTGAGACGTGGTTCAAATTCTCGTCGGATTCCTGTATCCTCACCTGTGACACCATCTGCAACCCTGCCTCGTGGTCAGCATTTATGCCAGACTAATTCTTGTTCTATACAACCATTAGTAGCATCTCCGTCTGAAGTTTCTGCAAAGCATATTCCACAGCTCATTCCAATTGCTGTAAATAAACATGGGACTAATCAGAAAGATGATGCATGCAGCTGTAGTCCAGAAGTGATTGAAGGAGACTCTTTGGTGATAAATACTAGTGAAAGTAACACACACAACCTAAGAACCTCAGTGTACAGTGTTGGGGATGAACGAAGTAAACTGGATTTAAGGACAGAGAATCCAGATGAAAAAATTAATAACAGCATTCCTCCAAAGCAAACTTTTGCATGCAGATAATGGTAACTAGTGCAAAGTAATTAATGTTGCATCTCCCACCACCACATTCTTTTCTTCATATTTGTAAAATATTACAGTCAGCATTCCACATGAGAAATATAATGGGCAAAATTTCTTAACAATCTTTAGAATAGATGTTGGAAAATTTAAATAGATGTAGATGACTTTAGTTTGATATTCAGTAAGTTATTAAATGGTGGGCAGGAGCAGTTAAGTACCTGTCTGGTGCCATAGTTGTTCCAGTGCTGCCAGTGTTAAGCTGTACAAAATTCTTGACTGGTAAATGTCTTACTGGTATTCGAACTAACTGTCCAATATACTTGGCTCCTTAGCCTCCTACTGATTGTGGTCAGGTTACCCTGTTCCAGGGTGTTATCTAGACTTAGCAAATAATCCACCAGAGATGACCTGCTGTATGCACACAGCACAGATAGGAAGTTGTACAAACTAGAGTTTCCCACTTGTGTTGAGGGAATTGATGGAAGCATCAACAGTCTCTGCTGGAGAATGCAGCTATCTCAAATTATCTATTTCACCATGTACAGTATTTTCAATAAGAAAATTTAGACCATTTTAGATAAATTACCATGTCTTACATTTACTTATTATAATAATCAAAAAGTGCTAAAATTTACTTGATAAACAAGCAGGATAAGTGGGTTGCTAGATAACACCTTGCTATGTGGAAAATTTAAAGTTTGTACAGTGTATCATACTATGGAGGCTACTGTCACAATTCTAGAATGTGATGGCTTTTTATTGATCAAATTTTAAGCAGAATATATACAGTGGCAATGAATACCATAGTTGATGTTATTAATTAAAATGAAGCGCTAAGCCACAAGGGCTATACAGCGTTAATGTTTATGAATGATTTTGGCAAGTGTTATCCTGTAGCTCAGGCTCTTTTTACTCCACAGCAAAGCCCAATTCTAAGATTTAAACATTAACATTTTTTGCTACAAGGATGAGTTACCTATATAAATAGTGCAGCTTCTGTAATAATTGAGAAACAGGGTGATGTGACCAGAATTATTTTGCATTCTTTCTCTAGCCTGTAAAAGGTTTATCCATGCAACACTGTGCTCTGTGAGCACAATTGTAGTCACGTACCATTTCTATTCACATACTGTAGATATACTATAGACAATTTGTAGAGGAAGCCAGCTAAATGCATTCTCCATAATATGAAGGATTAGCTGTACGTTGGAAAATTTTGTGGTGCATTATTAGCTAATTAGGTTTTATTTTCATATATTGTAGAAAGACTTCAGCTGTGTTCCCTGTCTACTGAGAATATTTTTATATTCATTTTATTTACCTAGGGACAATTCTTCTGCTTCATAGAAAATGTGCAGTTGCTTCATAGTAATAGATGCAATGGTCATTGAAGGGAAATGTCAGAATTGCTAGTGTCTACAGCATAGGGACAATGTATTTAAAATCAACCCCATACCCCCGTGTAGAGCACTGCATTGTTTGTTCCTAGTTATTGTGAAGTTCAAATGCTGCAAGCCTGTGTTGTGAAATAGGTTAATGAAGTATGCTTGGCTAAGCATTAAAATATTTCAGGAATTTGTGAAAAAAAAAAAAAAATTATGTAAGCATATTTTGAAACTAGTCACCCATTACAGTTATTATGTCACAACCTTTAATTTGTTGCTAAAATTATTGAAGAAAATTTTAATGCGATAGGTAGATGATGTAACCTTAAATGATTTATGTAACACATTATATTACTATCTATACATCTGTGGCAATAGCAATTATTCCATGGTAAGGATTTCAAAATAAGTGTTGAAAGTGTGCAGGGCCCTAATACAGTATTTTTTTAAATACTAGTTTAAACAATTAAGTGTTCATAATTTGGGTATTAACTTTGGTAGTGTGGGAGCCATAGTATTTTTAGCAACCCTTAAAAGAGAGGCTTTTACAGTCGAGATTCTAGCCGCTTTTGTTAAATAACTAATATAGTACACCTACCATCTGACTTACGACCGTGCAGCTGGGCTGGCTGATGCACACCGCTGTACAATATTTGACGGTACTCACGGCGGCAATGCAGGCAGCATTAGTTTGAGTAACCCTGCCCTATCAGCATTATCATACTGTATTAACTGGACAGTAAATTTCACCATGGCCCCTAAGATGAAGTCTGAATCTTGCAGCAAGAAAGGCTCTTACTCTCGAACTCTATTTGTTTTCACTGTTATACAAACCTGTCTATCTGTCTGCTTGTCTGTCTCAGAGCCACTCATTAAGAGTGTAATTGAAGATGCCATATTAATAATAACACAATAATAATCACTAAGGCGCATTAAATGTGTATAAGACGTTAATATTGACATTTTACTTAATACATCTATCATTTTTTTTCAAAATTATATAATAAACATGCTACATAACATATAAACGTATAAATTAACAAATATGAGATGTTTTTCTGGTCGGCTTGACAGTGAACAAAAACTATTCGTGTCCGGGCTGGTAACAACGTTTGTTTACATAACTCGCAAACCTTCTACACACTCATTCTCTCTCTCATTTACTCACCTCTCACTCTACATTAAGACTACAGATATTTTAAGGCAAGTAATGAGTGAACACAATTATTATATTATACTTTAATAATAATATTATTAATATTAGTACACATGTATTATTGTAATAATAATAATTATTATTATTAATTTAGGGCACTGGAGCACAGATCCACTGTATAGCACTTTGTCTGGATTTTTTGGGTTATCCTAGGTAATTTATACTATGTATGATAACTTTACTTACGTGTACCTGTGAGAGAGAGAGCCACATTCAGCCAGCCAGACGCATATTACACATGTTCCAGAGTTTTCTCTTTACTTAGGGTATAGGTTATACTACATTCTGGCAGGATGACACTACCAGTGGTATTCTCCCATTCCACTGTGTCAACAATATATAAAGATAACTAACATATGATACTGTATGCGATGTAAAATTTGCAATACAGTTCACTACCATATATACATTATATACAGTACATATAAATTTATTACATAATTAAAATATAACAATAAAAGTAAATTATGGTAAAAAGAATGAAATGATGATTGTACATTACATTACAGTATTATGTAGGTAGTTTATATAGAAAACGTTTGACATCATGCCCTACCCAGTATGTTGGCAATTTTCAAAGGTTCGACTTGCGTCCATTTTGACTTACGACCAGTTGGTCGGAACCAAGCTTGGTCATAAGTCGGATGGTGCCTGTATTATGTATTTTATTGCATACCTTAAGGTAATAATATTTTCACCGACTCATTTTCAGCATTTTGAAAGTTAAACAGAATGATAGAGCTACCATTATCCCAGTCAGAAATTGTAATCTGATTGCTGTCTTGGCTTATTTTAATTTCTAAGGCTTATTATTAACCATGTTACTTATTCGAGGCAGGAACGATCACAAGCAGAGCTCTATGACCATCTATAAATAGGTTATGTATATAGTTGAAAGCTTACCCTCCACTAACTTAAATATGGTAGGCTAGAGATGGTGCAGGAAATGTGGTGGTATGGGATCAATTTAAGAAAGCATTGCTAGTGTTGCAGCAGAAATTTTTGGGTATAGGAGAGAAGAACAGTGATTGGTGGAATGAGGTAAAGAGGATGGTAGGGGAGAAAAAAAATTAGCAAATGAGGTTTTTACAATGTAAAAACAATAGACGAGGCAGAATATATGGAGAGGAAGAGGGAGTAGACAAGGAGAGCCAGTGAGAAAAAATAAGTATCAGCAAGCTTTTCTGAGAATTAGGCAAACTTTTGGAAAGATCAAGGTGAGGAAGCCTGGAGAGCTATGGCTTTAGCAGTTAAAAAAGGGCTGAGGGATGTTAGAAGGGAGATTTCGACATGTTAAATGCTAGCGATAAAGGGGAGGTGGTGATTTCATGCATTGGGTAGGAAGAGGGAACATTGTACAATATAGGAGGAACCTGAAGTGATGTGGGGAAAGGTCATGAGGCAGTGGATAGAATGAAAGGGGACAAAGCAGGTAGGATAGAAGAGATGTTAAAAGCAGATGGTGCTATAGTATTGGAGTTGTTGGTGTATTTGTTCAATATATGCATGAAAGGAGGAACTGCAAACTCGCTACCAAAGGGAGAGAGAGAGATAACACAAGAATTAAAGTTGGATAAGCCTGTTGAGTATATTAGGCAAAGTGTATAGTAGAAATATTATTGAAGGGATTAGAGGGTAAGAAAGTAGGATTTCTGAGGAGGGATTACAGTATACCCTTGATATAAGACTAATAGGGGGAGGGGGTGTACGATATTGCCGATTGTTGGAAACTTCCAAATCACAAAATTAATTTTTCGTGATTGTCCAGTTATCTTCTGCACTAGCGAATTTGGTCCACTGATGCAGGAGACTGAACACTAAGAATATGGTTATTGTAACCTGTAGTACTGCAGTACAGTACTGTCATTTTATATTATTGTATATAATTTACAGTAATTAGATGACCTGTAAAGCTTCACTAGCATCTACACTAAACTTAAGAGTGTAGTCTAAGTTTATTCTGCTTCTAGACTTGAAACTAAATACTAAACCCACTAGGGTCATACATACCTGCATCTACATTCATCAGATACTTAAACATCATATTCCTTGCATTCCTTTGCCAATGAGAAGCCAGACTAGTCCTTTATTAGAGTTTCTGCTTAACAACCACATTTCTCCGTGCACCACCATTTGTTTTAGAAACCATTGTTATTTAATACAGCACCTTATCACTGTTCAACACAAATTAGTGCGGGTGGCCTACAGCTCAGGAAACGGTGAAAAACATCCTGGATATGACCTCTGGCCCGTACCAGACAGTCGTTGGGGTCATTAGGCTTGGTCCAATACTTAAAAAGATAGCTTGACACTATTGCTATGGACAAAGTCCAGGAATTACAGACTCGTCCATTTTGACAGGTACATACTTCCATTTATTCGTTTAGCTGTTTTGATTATAACAACAACTTCCATTTATCCAAAATTGCTGAAATCCATTAATAAGAGGTTTTACTGTACAGGTTTTCCTCATTTTATGTTGTAGATGTGTTCAATGCCTTTGGAATGTATATTAAGGTCACTTAAACCAGAAATACCCAATTATGCATATTAAAACATTTCAGTGTGTTTTGCAAGTTGTGCTGACCATAAATTGCCTGTATGGAATTAATGATAGAAATAGGACATCACATAACAGTGAATGTACACAAAGCAAGGGGAAACTTGTAGTGTACACAATTTTTATATACTGCAATAAACATTGAAAATATAAGAGTTAAAAGTACAATTTACTAATGTATTTTACTCATTATTTCAAAAGTTCATTATATCAAGGGTTTTACAGTATTTAGGAAGGGTAGGGATGTGCAGACTAAGTCTTTACATTGAAGCATGTAAATGAGCAGTACAGGTCCGCCATCACAAATCCGGCAATCAGTTATTCGGCACTAATTTTGGCTAGCATAATTTCAAATTTCCAGGGTCGCCACACCAACCTGCTGGTACTGTTTGGTGGCGCTATTTGCTGCATAAGTCATTCCAATTTCTTTTTCTCCATTTATTATTTTAACCTGCTTACTTTTAGTCCTAGCCATGGTTCCAATGAATAAAAGAAATGCTTCTCATTATGCAAAGCACCTGCACAGTACATTATCCATTAAAGATAAGGTGGCTTTGAAGCCACTGTCGGTTGCCATGAGCTCAGTCTCATGAAGCAGGAGAATATGCTTTATTATTACGCTAATATCAATGCTACAGCTTATTTGCCTATCACAATTGATCTAATATGACGTAAGAAACAATATAAATATCATAAAACATGTTAAATACTCCAGAATGAATAATATTTGGCATAACACCGAGCAGTTCGACAGAGTTATGAAGAGGATATGGTAAACAAATACCATTCTCCAATCCTTGTCTTGGGGGCTTATATTAGAGAAAATGGAGTATAGCACAGGGCTAACTATGATATACACCATACTCCACCATAAACATGAAACAAAAAAGTTATTTTCTCTCTATAGATTATCACATATAGCAGCATGTGTGTAGAGAACCTAGGATAATCCCAAAAAAGTCAATGTGGCTTATTTTTAGTACCTGGCTTGAGTTAGCCATATATGATTTTTGGTAAATATTCGATTCCCAGCCAGAGTAGAAACATTAGGCGTGTTTCTTTACACCTGTTGTCTGTGTTTACCCATCAGTAAATGGGTACCTGGGTATTAGTCGACTAGTGTGGGTGTTATCCTGGGACACTGACCTAATTTTCTTGAAATACTCAGCATAACAAGTACCTTTCTATACAGTAGTACTGTATGTCACTGATGTCAGCTAGGCCTGTATACCTTGTACATGTACGTGTAGTAAATAAAGATATTATTATTATTATTATTTTCTCAGTTGTTTGTTGGGTTATCTTATTCAAACTTGGGCAATGTATGATGGAAAGATACTTCTTCACGTACACCAAAAATGAAAATCAGACCATAAATAGCGGAGTTCACTTCTCAGCCATTAGCAGCCGCTTAGCGGTATATTTTTGTATGGTTGTTATGGTTATGTTCTCATTTGATAGAATGAAAGATATATTACAGAAATAGATATGATTTTGATTGCTTTCATGATGAAAAGTACCTTGAAATTGCGCTCACAGTAGCGAAAATGTTCTATTCTTTAGCGAAGCTCAAGAGTAAACAAATGATGTCACTGTCCAATACCTGTCCACATGCCAGTCTAAATTCCAGTACAGAGTCAAGAATGGATTGACATTATTTATACAATTATTACAATAATGCAGTAGTCTGCATAACAGTAAATCTTCTATTTTTTTTGTGAATAAAAATTCCAAATGGTAAGCAAGAGTAATATAAGAGGGGCCTGTAGCCGTGACTAATGAACAGAGAAAATGTTATTTTAGTGCCAGGAATGTCTGCATTGTTTATTCTGGACCCTATTTTGAAATTGGCATCTGTTGAAATTTGTGTGAAGTCAGCCAAATTGCCAATTTCTGACCACTTTATTGGGTAGTTGAAATAAGTGAATGGGCGGTTTCTTTTACTCAGTTGACAGACAAGAAGTAAATAAGTTTATTCAGGTATACACAAATACAGTTACATAGATTATCATACATAGCAGTGTATTTATAGAGAACCTAGGATAACCCAGAAAAGTCCGACAAAGTGACTTATTTCCAGTACCTGGCTTGGGCTTGCCATATATGTTTTTTGGTAAATATTTTTTTTTCTCGGTTGTTTGTTGGGCTATCTCATTGAAACCGGGGCAATGTATGATGGAAAGATGCTTCTTAACGTACAACAAAAATAAAAAAGACGGAGGATAAATAAGGGAGTTCACTTCTCAGCCATTAGCCGCCTCTTTGCAGTATATTTTCGTATGGTTTTTATGGTTGTATTCTCATTTTTTGGACTCATTTGATAGAATGGAAGATATATTACAGAAATAGACATGATTTTGATTGCTTTCATAACGAAAAGTATCTTGAAATTGAGCTCAAAGTAGCGGAAATGTTCAATTTTTGCCTATGTTCAATGAACTGTGTAAGTCAAGTTGGTTAATTTTATTAAGTGTATTCTAACCTAACCACTCTGTAATTCGGCAAACTCAGTAATTCGGCATACTACAGGTCCCAATGATGCCGGATTTGTGATGGAGGACCTGTATTCAAGAGTAAAGAACTGTTTGTTGCATTTATGGATTCAGAAAAGGTATATGATAAGGAAACCCTATTGGAAATACAGGAGTTATGCTACTAGTAGCAGTCAACGAGTTTTCGTGCAGATAGCCCAAAAACAAGGCAAAAACCACATCCACAGTGCTGGTCATGGCACTATGTTACCCCTCCCCCACACACGTACCAAACCACAAACACACCTTGAAAGACTATAGTATATATACAGGGGTACCTCGAGTTTCAAACAGCTCCCAACTCTATCAATTATGTAAGTGTATTTTTGTAAATGCTTTTGTAAGTGTATTTTTGGTGGTCTGAAACAGATTAATCTAATTTACATTATTCCTTATGGGAACAAATTTGTTCGGTGTCGGCACTCGAACAGCCTTATGGAACGAATTAAGTTCGTAACTCGAGGTACCACTGTGTGTGTATATATATATATATATATATATATATATATATATATATATATATACACAGTGGACCCCCGGTTAACGATATTTTTTCACTCCAGAAGTATGTTCAGGTGCCAGTACTGACCGAATTTGTTCCCATAAGGAATATTGTGAAGTAGATTAGTCCATTTCAGACCCCCAAACATACACGTACAAACGCACTTACATAAATACACTTACATAATTGGTCGCATTCGGAGGTGATCGTTATGCGGGGGTCCACTGTGTGTGTTATATATATATATATATATAAATATATATATATATATATATATATATATATATATATATATATATTTTCCAACAAGTCGGCCATCTCCACACACACACACAGGACCATTGGGTAGCGACATTAATCCATTCCAGAGAGCTTGCCTTCAACCGATTTTTTCGTTATCCGAATTAATTTTCTCCATAAGAAATGATGGAAATCCAATTAATCTGTTCCAGACACCCAAAAGTATTAAACAAAATTATTTTACACAGAAAACAATGAGACATGCAGAATAAACAATACTGAAATGACACTTACCTTTATTAAAGATGTACTGATGAGTGATGAGATGGGAGGAGGGCAGAGGATGGAGTAGTTTACAATTGTTTGGAAGGGGAATCCCCTTTCATAGACTTCAGGTAACAAGTCCTTTTCTGGGGTTATCTCCCTTCTTTGTTTTTTAATGCCACTAGGACCAACTTCAGAGTCACTGGACCCCTGTTGCACCAAAAATCTGTCAAGAGAGCTCTGTTTCTAGCATCTCTAAGATTTCCCTAAAATGGGACACAACATTGTCATTGTAGATGTTGCCAGCATGGCCTGCAACAGCTGCCAGGGTGATGTTCATCCATAAATGTTTGCACATAAGAAAGCAGGAATACTGCAGCAGGCCTGTTGGCCCATACTAGGCAACTCCTTCACAGACCATCCCACTAACAGAATTACATTTGCCCAACCCAGTTTTCAATGCTTCCCAAGCAATATGCTTTGATAATTTTATTCACTCGTGTGCAATTCCCAATCAAACCAAATCGTGTGTGTGGGGAAGTACCCTGGCTGGTGTGTGGGAAGTACCCTGGATGGTATGTGGGGAAGTACCCTGGCTGGTGTGTGGGGAAGTACCCTGGATGGTATGTGGGTAAGTTTCCTGGCTGGTATATGGGGGAAGTACCCTCTCTGGTGTACATAAGAGAGCAGGAACACAAAGCAAGAGACCTGTTGGCCCATACTACCACTTTCGTATCTTTCTACAAACTTTTTCTTTAATTCTATGGTGTTTCTCACCCTCTTGACCACAGGGCTGGCACTAGCTTTCTTTGGGCCCATGGTGGCTTATTTAGCAGTTACAAGCACTAAAAACAATGGAATACAAAATACATTGCATGTATGCGTGGAATTGTCCTCGCTGGCTTGTAAACAATGGCACACTGGCTGTGCATGGGGTGTCCGGGCCACTCATGCCGCGCTGAAACGTTCGGGATGAATGTCCTTAACCAAGTTTTTTTTGGTAACCGAGCCAATACTGACGCAAAAACGTGTCATCATCCGATTCCTGTTATCCGAGGGTCTACTGTATGTATAATATATATATATATATATATATATATTATATATATATATATATATATATATATATTATATATATATATATATATATATATATATATATTATATATATATATATATATATATATATATATATATATATATATACACACACACACACCTACCATCTGACTTATGACCGAGTTCGGTTCCGAGAAACCGGTCGTAAGTCGAAATGGACGTAAGTCGAACTTTACTACTGAATATCAACATCACAATTTTGTAATGACTTTATTTTGTTTTATTTTGGTATTTCATGTTTTACTTTACTTTTTATGCTGTTAGTCCTGTATTTTATACTGTAAGGTTTAGGATAAACACTGTGTACAACACAAATAGTTGTTTATTTCCCAAAAATTTGGCAAAAAAAAAAAAAAAAAAACACGGTCGTAAGTTGAGTGGTCGTAAGTCGGATGGTAGGTGTATATATATATATATATATATGTCGTGCCGAATATGTAAAACTGGTCAATTAGCAAGAACTCATTTAAAATTAAGTCCTTTTTGAAATTTTCTCTTTTACGTTTAAAGATATATTTTTTCATTAATGTTAATGTAAAAAATTTTAATTTTGCACCAAAAGAATCTTAGAAAACTTACCTAACCTTATTATAACAAGAGCAATTTATTTTAGCCTAACTCAACTAAATATATTTTAGATTTGTTTACAGTAATTTAATACTAAACAAACACAGTGAAATATATTTTTTTCGTTAAGTTCAGAATGATTTTGGCGAAATTATTGCATACACAAATTTTCACTTGTCCTATATGGCAAGATGATCGTTGCTATTTAAGCCAAGATAGCAAGTTCTGCCTATTCGGCACGACACACACACACACACACATATACAGTGGACCCCCGGTTAACGATATTTTTTCACTCCAGAAGTATGTTCAGGTGCCAGTACTGACCGAATTTGTTCCCATAAGAAATATTGTGAAGTAGATTAGTCCATTTCAGACCCCCAAACATACACATACAAACGCACTTACATAAATACACTTACATAATTGGTCGCATTCGGAGGTGATCGTTATGCGGGGATCCACTGTATATATATATATATATATATATATATATATATATATATATATATATATATATATACAGTGGACCCCCGCATAACGATCACCTCCGAATGCGACCAATTATGTAAGTGTATTTATGTAAGTGCGTTTGTACGTGTATGTTTGGGGGTCTGAAATGGACTAATCTACTTCACAATATTCCTTATGGGAACAAATTCGGTCAGTACTGGCACCTGAACATACTTTTGGATTGATAAAATATCGTTAACCGGGGGTCCACTGTATACAGTGGACCCCCGCATACCGGACGCATCGCATACCGTACAATCCGCATACCGGACGCTTTGATCGCAAAAATTTTGCCTCACATACCGCCCAAAAACCCGCTCAACGCCCTTCGTCCGAGACGCGTCCAATGTGCGGCCTGAGCCACGCTCACATGTTCCGCCGGTGGCATTGTTTACCAGCCAGCCTCCGCGGTAACATCCAAGCATACAATCGGAACATTTCGTATTATTACAGTGTTTTTGGTGATTTTTTCTGGAAAATAAGTGACCATGGGCCCCAAGAAAGCTTCTAGTGCCAACCCTACAGCAATAAGGGTGAGAATTACTATGGAGATGAAGAAAAAGATCATTGATAAGTATGAAAGTGGAGTGCGTGTCTCCGAGCTGGCCAGGTTGTATAATAAACCCCAATCAACCATCGCTACTATTGGTGGTACAGCTGCTGCTGCTGCTGTACCACCGTCAGCTGCTGCTGCTGCTGCTGTACCACCGTCAGCTGCTGCTGCTGCTGTAGTACCGTCTGCTGCTGCTGTAGTACCGTCTGCTGCTGCTGTAGCATCATATGCTGCTGCTATAGCATCGTCTGCTGCTGCTGTAGCATCGTCTGCTGCTGCTGTAGCATCGTCTGCTGCTGCTGTAGCATCGTCTGTTGCTGCTGTAGCATCGTCTGTTGCTGCTGTACCACCGTCAGCTGCTGCTGCTGCTGTAGCATCGTCTGTTGCTGCTGCTGCTGTAGCATCGTCTGCTGCTGCTGTAACATCGTCAGTTGCTGCTGTAGCATCGTCTGCTGCTGCTGTAGCATCGTCTGTTGCTGCTGTAGCATCGTCTGTTGCTGCTGTACCACCGTCAGCTGCTGCTGCTGCTGTAGCATCGTCTGCTGCTGCTGCTGTAGCATCGTCTGCTACTGCTGTAACATCGTCAGTTGCTGCTGTAGCATCGTCTGCTGCTGCTGTAGCATCGTCTGTTGCTGCTGTAGCATCGTCTGTTGCTGCTGTACCACCGTCAGCTGCTGTACCACCGTTGTTGGTGTGGCTTATTGAGAATACCAAGAAACAATTAACCCCAGAGGATTTGCCACCCAGGATAACCCAAAAAAGTCAGTGTCATCGAAGACTGTCTAACTTATTTCCATTGGGGTCCTTAATCTTGTCTCCCAGGATGCAACCCACACCAGTCGACTAACACCCAGGTGAACAGGGAAAATGCCTGGAACTAGTGCTCATATTGGTGAATTTAGAGCCAGCAAAGGTTGGTTTGAGAGATTTAAGAATCGTAGTGGCATACACAGTGTGATAAGGCCTGTTCTGGAAGAAAATACCAAACAGGACCTACAGTACTCAGGAGGAAAAGGCACTCCCAGGACACAGTGTCTCATCAGTCATTGCTGCATCTTCAATAAAGGTAAGTGTCATTTATTCTTCATTTAGTAGAGTAGTACATGCACAATATATATTGTGCATGTACTACTCTACTATTGTGCATGTATCCTTCTCTTTGT